GTTTGTTAAAGAACTTTTGCTAAAATTTCTCAAATTTAGAATGCATAGCTCTATTAAGTATGTGGAAAACTCTAAATATATGCCTGTAGTGGAGAGAAGGAAACATTACCACTTAGATGACCATTACCACTTAGCACCTGGAAAGCAGATTGTCAAAAAATTTTTGCTAAAGTGTAATGCATTGCAATTCATTCAATTATTTATACATTTGTAATTATAAACAAGGGAGTGAGCAGTTCCTCTTTTACAGCTCCCCAAGTCCATCAGGTTTGTACCACTAATTTATGACAAAGTGATTTTCCAGAAGAAGATGTAATGGTGATGGTACACTAAAACTTTTAAACTTATTATTTATTATTTTTTATGTTTATACCGTTATCTTTAGTTTTAATCTTATTATTCTTTTGGAGGTCAGTAAAGCCATCAGAGTCAGACATGCCTGAAGCAGCACATAAGCCCAGTAGAATAAATAAACCCAAAATTGGAGAAAAGAGATCTAAGTTCTGTTTCTATCCTGTTTCGTGACATCACCATGCCACTTTCATGCCCCTTCAGTTTCTACCAGTCCCAACCAGAATAGTTAATGACAAGGGATTATGGATGTTATATTCTAAAACATCTGGTGGGCATCAGGTTGCCAACCCCCATTTAAATCATATTGCAATAAATGATACAGCCCAATAGTATGAGCTCCTGCTCTGAAATTGTGCCTTATTTAATGAGTAAGTGATGCCCAATTAACATCTTCTAGAGCTTGAAACTTAAGAACAGGTTCATTACAGGAGGAGCAATTGCTTCCTTGTTTGTTATTCTTCTGCATTTTATGTACTTTCTATATTGGAAGATGTATTTCCAAGGAAGTGTAGATTCTATAGCCTTTCTTTCTTTCTACTGAATTATTTTAAGACTTATTACAAATTAAGCCTGGATAAAGTGGAGGAACAGAGTTGGCATTTTGAACAAAGTCAGTTTAGACCTCTGGTTGGAAATATGTATGCCAGAAGATGGTGGTGTGGAGGATAAATAGATGGAACTACAAAGATACAGAAGTAATTAAGAGTATAGAAAAGATTTTACAGTTCATTGTGGGAGGACCAGGTCCTTTGAGTTGTTCTTTATGAAGATATTGTTTATAGGTTGTAATGAAGGACCAAAGGAATCCACACTTGTTCTTCTTTTAAGAAAGTGCTGTTTGGTTTCATGCCTGAACACGTGAGAATATATTTTGTTTTAATGCTGGTATAATCCCCATTACTATTTTTCTCATCAGGTCATTTTGTGAACAATATTTTAAGACACAGCCTCATAATTTAGCCTGTAAGAGAGGATTATATGTTAGAACAATAAGCACGCCATGGCAGTAATAGGTAGCTAGCTGTTGATGATCCTTTTGATCAGTCAGTGGTCAAAGTGCTTGGTGTTATCTGAATTTGGGTTTTTTTGCAGAAACTGTGGAAACATATCTCAAATATGGGATATCTGCTTCCTTTCAGAATCATTACTTCTTTCTAAGGACTTTCATCTTCAGAAATGAGCAGTCCCCAAGGCTCCATATTAAGAGTGCCTCCTGATAAGAGAGTTTGCATCCATGAGAGGAATCTGAAGTTTGACATTCAAGGAAGACTCTTTTTTTTTTTATAAACTTTTAAAAAGAATTCCTTGTATATGTATGAAACTATTAAACAAAGTTGGGCTCAGGCAACTTTTCTCTCTTCTTGCATGTGCCATTTCTGGAATATAATTAATGCTGGCATCATTGTTTACACACAGTTCAAGACCTTATTCTCTAAGGCAAGAGTAAGTATTCATTCTGTAGTCAGAGGTTGCAATTTTTAGTAATATTTTTCAGCACTTGGAGGACTTATCTGGCTTATTTGGTTTCTGTTTTGTTTTGCTCTTTCAGATGTGCTAAGCCTGTTCAAGGCTTAATGTATCTTACCTGTTTTGAAATAGTTGGGAAATCATATTCTTGATTTGAGGGGGAGCACTCTGGGGCCACAAAAAAGTTTAGTGTTACATATGGCCCACAGAACGCTCTGTTCTGCTCTTGAGTTTGGGCCAGTGGTTTCCAGCTAGTGTAATATGATGTCTTGGATCATCTGGTATATCCCTCCCCCTTCTGTGCCTTGTCCCCTCAGATGTCACTAATCATACGTTAGCTCAGTGTTTACTATCCACAATATTTGTACTGTGCTGATTTAATCAGATCCCCGCTGTCTCAACTTCTTCCCTAAGCAGAAATTTAATTTAACTATTAAAAATTTTCCCTACCTTGATGCAAGCAATTATGGGGATTTGTTTTGTTTTTGTCTATCACCTGACATCGTCATCTCAGAGACCTTTTCAAGGAGCACAATTCATACATTCAGCTACATATCAGATGAGGGCTGAAGGCATATAATTGGGGGTCAAAGTGGATGTCACCTATGCTGCTGGCTTCCTTGTTTGTTCCTGCTTTAAAGCAGCTTTTCCCAAGCTGATCATTTTCAAAGGTCTTTGACTAAAACTCACCTAATTCCCACACTATGGCTTTCACACTCAGTGCTGGCTGCAAATTATGGTAGTTGTAGTCTATCTTAATTGGAAGGCACTAGGTTGGTGAGAACTGCTCTGAAGTAAATGTGATGATGTGTATTGAAACCATTGTGCATGGGTTTTCTTTTCATTTTGAAACTCCTGCATTTGGGTGGGGATAATATTTTAGAAGCAAAACAGAACAGAAGAAATGAAATTCCATTTTATCACTCATGCCATTCTGATCTAGGTAAGAACCACACACTTTTGCTTTAGAAGAATAAAGCAAAATAGCTAAATTCAGATAATGTAATTTGACCACATCTGAAGGATGTGAGTATAATTTTTGGGAATCTTTCAGAATGGCAAGGATAGACATTCTCTTTACAGAAGAGAAGTCCTACGTGGAAGGGTGAGGAATCTGATCAAAGCGTTGCTTTTTATAAATCAAAAGGATCCTAAAGGGGGAAAGATTTTATTGGCAAATTGTGAGCTTTGGAATGGAAAATATTCTTTAGAGATAATATCTCTCCCATTCCAAAGCTCGGCAATTTGTTACAATTTGTTCTTTAGAAACATAGGAGAATAGAGGTAATGCACCTAACCTGCTCATAGCTGATCATATCAATTTTTAGGTTATGATGATCCAGTGAAATTAGTCTGCCTCCTCTTGCACGTGATTGGTGTACTACTGCACATGAACATTACATATATATACTAGTATGGCTTTGCAAAGCATTCAGAGTGCTTCATACCATCCCCTTCTTCTCAGATCATTAAAACAGTCACTTTCTGTCCATATAGACCAACTTTGCATGTGGAGGCAGCCAGGAACAGCTTCTAAAGCAGTTGTGTAAGCTTTGCAAAATACATGGTTCCTTAAATTATTTGAAAAGAGGTACTTCATATGCTGCTTAGCACCTTGTTCTAATGCTTTGTACAGCTGTATAAACTGGAATCACTGGCAACCATTTTGTGCATATACTTGCTGGGCTTAATTGGCTTACTGTGTGGATTGCTTCATTAGTGTTTGTTAGTTTGTTATTGGCTCCATATGTAGTTAGTAATTATAGAGTATTTATCCCCATTAAGTGAAATCTAAGAAGATTGAAAGGAACTGAATCCAGTGGTCTTACAGAAAAGCCGGCCTGCACTTAACATAATTTGTTTCTAGTTCAACTAACACCAAATTAGAAAGAGTGAATATGTGGGTGATGGGGAGGAATTTTACATATTTCTCAGCATAGAATCATTCTCAGAAAACATCTTTTTAATTTAATTTTTCTCTTTCTCAAGCCTGTTTGTTTTTCTCCCTATGATTCTGATACTGCAAGTGAAAAAGGCTTAGAAGTGGAAACGCTTACAGTTAAGGTTTATTTTTGAATAGTTGTTGATTATTTTGTTGAAAACTAGGATCAAGAAAAAAATAATTTTTTTTATTCTGATTGCCATAGAAACTCGCTGGACATTTTCTTTTGTGATTAGTTGCTAGGATAAAATGCTGTAAGATGCTGGAAAGAAGTAAGCTTGTTGGTGGAAAGGGAGGTAGAAAGCATTCAGGACAGAAAAGGTTAGGAATCTACGAGGTCAGATAGTCAGCACTGGGAAGTCTTGGCTCTAGGTGAACCTCTGTTCAGGAAGTTCATGGCACATTGTATCAACTATTGCATATCTGGTTATGGATATGGTTTTTTACAGGATAGCAGTCACTCTCATCTGGGAGGACTTAGCCATTTCCTGCATGATTGTCAGCATTACTAGGTAGACGAGACAAGAAACAGGGCCAGATGAGCTAATTCTACTTTATTGTAAGGCTGCATTAACAGAATCTTGCAAGTCTGAAAGTACAATTCTCCTTTTATAGCCCAAGAAATTAGGGATGGTTTCTTCTGAGCCTCTTGCCCTGCCCACTATCCAGCTGCGGGCTATGCTGCCTCTTATCTGACCATTCCCTGGGCAGCTTCTCTGGGCCCATTCTCCCAAGGTCTTTCCCCTGTACCATTACAATGATTGTGACTGGTCCAGTGGGCAGAATGTTATTACTCATAATGAATCTAGAATCCCTGAGCATTGTACATTTTACAGTAATGTTCGTAGTCATCATGATTGCCAGAAAATCCTGAAAAATATATGACCAGATCTAAAAACATAAACAGTACTGTACAAAAGGCTTAGGGTAAGCAACTGTAGGTTGTATGCCTGTGCAACTCCATTGATTCATTTAGCCCAAGATATCTGCTCCAATAGGCAGTACCCTGTGGTGATTTAGGAATAGGTTCTCAAATTTGTGATCCTTTTCAGCTACAGTTAATAGGAATGGAATGTGGGCCTTCTGCACATATAGTAGGTGCTTTTCATATAAAGTGCCTCCTCCTCCAAAATATAGCTTCCCCAACCACTCCAGCAGATCGCCCATCAGAGACTTGAGAGTTGCAGAGGGCATTATATTTGCTTACAAATAGTCTCCAATGCAGAAGTCTTCCAAAATGGTTCCAGAACTCCCTGAAATTGCACTGTTTAGCAACAAATTGTCATTAAATCAAGGTATGAGTCCATGCTGATTTTTGACAGTAAATGAAACAAGAATTTGCTTAAGTCAAACATAGACTTAACATGCATTTTTAAAAAGTAAAAGAAAGCCATTACCATTAGCCAGCAAAATTCTCAGTCTGCTATGGCCTTGCAAAATGAAATAATATATACCTCCTGGCTGTCAAATGGTTGCCACCTTGCTCTAACTAATGTCATCTTATGACTGCAACAGAGTATCCTGCATTATTATGAAGGTCAGATATATTTGTCTTAAGATTCCAAGGTTGTTTTAAGCCCTCAGTCATTTGGAACAGAGATGTATAAAAGATAGATTAATTGTCTTCTGTTACAAATTGCCATGCTTTTAAGCTACCAGCCTTGGTGTCTTTGACTTGAACATATATGTTACTAATCCTAGCCCTGAAATTCAGCACAGGAAGAGATAGGCACACAACCTTCTGCTGGGAGACCTTCCCAAATATTTTAACCATATTAAAGATCCATGAGCCAACCATATGAAACATCCCCTTTTCACATCCTCAAGGGAAAGAATGTCTAGAATCTCTATTGCATATCTTCTGGAAGCTGTTCATGAATCCTCAAGCTGAGAATTCTGCAGATAAAGAATTTAACTACTGATGTCCTTTTCTTTATCCAAGTTTTTCAGAAACTTCTGGTGGTGAGGCAGATGGCTGAGCCCATAGGATCTAAAGCTGGGGATCGCAAACCACCTTCTCCAGAAGCCCTCTGGGTCTGCCTCATGCTTTGGAGTAGTAGCTTGGTAGTTCCTGCTGATATCATCTATATTCTAGCAAGTCCCTCACCTGCCATTCTCCCCATAATCCCCATGTATGAGGGACAAAGAGCTATCACATCCTGGGCCACCTTTCTGGCAATTAAAAGGATAAAAAGCAGAAAAGTGAAATGATTTCAGTAGTGAAAAAATTCTGCTTCTCCTGGCCATGTATAGCTTGTAGCCAGAGGATTCAACCCTTCTTCCCCAGTCACTAATTTCACAAGAGATAAGCTTTTTTAAAAGAAGAAAAAAGAAAATATAATTTTTTAAAAACCCTTATCTTTAAATATTAAAATATATCTAGTCTTAGTAAATATAAGTTACAGAGCTGTTTAGATCATGGACAGCAACTTAAAAGAGTGTTACAGCAGAAAATGCAATTTTCCAGGCAGACAATAAAGTATATCTCCTATAAATAACATGCTTCCTATCAGACTACTTCGCAAGGCTAACAGCTGTTGTGCATACAGTCTTGGTATTCACGCTGTCTTGTGATGTCATTGTTTGTATTTCACCTCTCTGCTTTCAACTCTGTTCTTGCTTGTCATTTAAAAAGTGCAAGGTTTTGTTTCATTGCTTTAGATTGATGGTTCCCTTCTCATGACCACTGCTCCTCTACTACTTCTTAACTTGTTTTTATTTCATATCTTTGTGCTGATGCACACTTTTACTTGGCCATAGTTCTACTTTCTGTAAGATGGTATCATGAAGGCACAATTGAGGGTGTCCTAGAACCATGTATTTTTGCTTTACATGCCTCACCAAAATTTCTGTCATTAGTAGAAGTATCCAGGGCGCCTCTACAATTTTTGGATGGAGAGAGAGAGAGAGATACAGATAGTGATAAAGATTTCCCTTGCTTTATGTGAATTTGCTATTATGCAATTGATCTTTTTCATCCAAGAATTCACTTTATGCAAAACAAAAATTGCTGTTATGCAACTTGTGCAGGGATGGCTGATTTACCCAGATCTGGAAACATGCCAAGATTTCTTCCTGCTTATACCATGTGAATATTTTCCTTTCTGCATTGATGTATTTACCATCATGTTATGCAATTCTAGTTATGTGTCCTGTCTCCCGCTTACTTCCATACCTGCAGTAGCTACTACTATTTATCATGTTACTATGGGATCAAAATGGCCATCAAAACTTGTCCAAACCCTTTCCCCAAATGAAAAGGAAAAGGACTTTCTAGCATGCATTCTACCTTTTTGAGTGCCATGATAACCATGTGCCTTAGAAATCTAGCTACAGAAAATATGGAGAAAATGCTTTCATTATACATAGAATATGAGACAAGGAAGAAAATGTATGTGAGTAATGTAGTGCTTAAGAATAAGGCTCTAAAAATTTATGAGCACATTTGCCAATGCATTTTGGGTTACAAAATGTGACATTATATCCAAAGACCCCTTTTTTCTACTGGTCCAGTGTCTTGTTTTATATGAATTCACTTTATGCAAGGTTTCAGGGAATGTGTGTTTATAAGTATGTGTGTGTGTGTACATACTTGAAATAATTGAGTAACAGTGCATGCAGCTTTCCAGATAGAAATTATGCATGATTATGGAGGCAAGGAGAGCCAGTTGGGTGTAGTGGTTAAGGAACCAGGCTAGAAACCGGGAGACCATGAGTTCTAATCCCGCCTCAGGCACGAAGCCAGCTGGGTGACTTTGGGCCAGTCACTCTCTCTCAGCCCTAGGAAGCAGGCAATGGCAAACCACTTCTGAAATCTTGCCAAGAAAA